AAACACATCTATCAGACTTAATTAACTTAACACAATTTGGCTCCCTTTGAATCAAAAGGCTGCCTGATTGATTTTCAATGCTTCAGTTCCTCACAAACACTGTTTCTGTGAGGCACCATAATTATGGTGTAGCAGCCTAGGGGCAGATATTTCTGATATTTATTTAGTTTGCTCACCTCACCTGCCTCCATCTACTGCAACTAATGGCTCGCTGTAGCCCGTTATCCACAGGAAATGGCTACATTTAGGATAATAAGTCGTGGGCTCGTACAGTAGGGATATATACTGTAGCTGTCTTGTAGCATACAATAATATATTGTTGCTATTCACATGTTGAGACACTTTTCAATATAACACCAGAGAAGAGAACATTTCAAACTACAGATGTAATTACAGTATCGTGGTAAATATTCTTACTCCGATTCTAAACTTGAATGTTTCTTCAGCTCTGGGAGAATTTCCTGGTCTGACATATTCTCTAACAATGGGCAGCAGCAGGGTTGTGTAGACATGCTCCTACAGAGAGCTGACCCCACTACCTGATTTATACCCACTGACTGCCCCCAGCTGTTACTATTGCCTGAGCCAAGACTAAGCATGCATAGCTGAATTGGCCAAATGCTACTTAGAGGGAATTTGAAACGTCCACTCCCAAAAATTAACAGACTATATAAATGCAGAAAAGTTTCAAGGTTTTCCACCAGCAATAAAATATAGAATCTTGAGGTATAAAAATGTAAACGTGCTAAAATTGTCAGCACCACCACCCCTGTTCACTACCTGGCCTGCCACAATGAGGGATGCTGTACTTTGCGTTATTATCTGGGATTGAAATATACAGTTGAAGTCGGAAGTTTACATACGCCTTAGCCAAATGCATTTAAACTCAGTTTTTCACAATTCCAGACATTTAATCAGTGTAAAAATTCCCTGTTTTAGATCAGTTAGGATCACCACTTTATTTTAAGAATGTGAAATGTCAGAATAATAGTAGAGAGAATGATTTATTTCAGCTTTTATTTCTTTCATCACATTCCCAGTGGGTCAGACGTTTACATACACTCAATTAGTATTTGGTAGCATTGCCTTTAAATTGTTTAACTTGGGTCAAACATTTCGGGTAGCCTTCCACAAGCTTCCCACAATACGTTGGGTGAATTTTGGCCCATTCCTCCTGACAGAGCTGGTGTAACTGAGTCAGGTTTGTAGGCCTCCTTGCTCGCACATGCTTTTTCAGTTCTGCCCACAAATGTTCTATAGGATTGAGGTCACTGATGGCCACTCCAATACCTATTTTTGTTTCATCAGACCAGAGGACATTTCTCCAAAAAGTACGATCTATGTCCCCAAGTGCAGTTGCTAACCGTAATCTGGCTTTTTTATGGCGGTTTTGGAGCAGTGGCTTCTTCCTTGCTGAGCGGCCTTTCAGGTTATGTCGATATAGGACTTGTTTTACTGTGAATATAGATACTTTTGTACCTGTTTCTTCACAAGGTCCTTGGCTGTTGTTCTGGGATTGATTTGCACTTTTGGCACTAAAGTACGTTCATCTCTAGGAGACAGAACGCGTCTCCTTCCTGAGCGGTATGACGGCTGCGTGGTCCCATGGTGTTTATACTTGCGTACTATTGTTTGTACAGATGAACGTGGTACCTTCAGGCGTTTGGAAATTGCTCCCAAGGAACAGTCAACTTAGTGTATGTAAACTTCTGACCCACTGGAATTGTGAAACAGTGGATTATAAGTGAAATAATCTGTCTGTAAACAATTGTTGGAAAAATTACTTGTGTCATGCACAAAGTAGTTGTCCTAACCGACTTGCCAGAACTATAGTTTGTTAACAAGAAATGTGTGGAGTGGTTGAAAACAAGTTTTAATGACTCCAACCTAAGTGTATGTAAATTTCCGACTTAAACTGTAACACTGCATTCTGGCATATAGCAAATACACATAACATAGGTCTACTATCAAGTCGGAAGAGAAATAAGATGGGTTTTCTTTAATGGAGAAGTGGAATGAGGCACATCTACCTCCTTTATGGAAAAGGACCACCTTGAACCTCTCAAAATAAGATATTTCCAGGAACTGTCACGTCCAACAGCCTGCAGAAATATATCACAGCTTCATTGTGAAACTATTAAGGTCTACAACTGAGGGGCTTCTGTTTCAAAATATTTTGTCAGGCCTTTAGTGAGAGATGGGTAGCACTGTCTGGCGCAATGTGTGAAGCCAACACAATGAGTCATTGTGGCTGTGAAGGGAGAGAGTGGACTGTTGGAGTTCACAGAGGAGGGATATTAGTCACAAGTCTGTGCACTGCTCCCATATTGACAGGATTCTGTGTGCGGCTCTAGTCTACTGCAATGAATATGGCACAGGGACAATTGGGCTTATCTTGCACCTGTTGACCTAAACAAGCCTGTTGGCAAGCTGTTCACAGGGCAGCTCAACGGCGAACATGGATTTCAGATGATGTGCTCATAAACCATCTATCTCAATGTGTGTAGAACAGTAATGACATGCTATCTCAATAACTTGTCATAATAGTTATTTGATGTGGTAGAAAAACACTCCAATAATATCCTCCATTTTTAAAGACCAATTATTTATTTTTCTTGGGTTTGGTGCAATTTACATACCGCAAATAATCAAATTGTGTCTAACTATTTGACAAGCATGTTACAGTTGTGTCTAGGCCAGGGTTTCCCAAACTCGGTCCTGCCCATCCCAACCCCCCCATTCTACACCTCTGTTTTAAAAGACTGGGTCCTCCATCAATAGTATTCTTATTTTTAAATATGATTCCTCCCTGAGCCTTCTTTTCTTCTTCAGTTCTCTGTATTGGAAAATGTTGGTGTCCTTCCAACTCATGACCTACATTTATATCAAATGAACAGAGCTGTACTGTTGTGCTCATCCTGATAGGCCATTATAACCCTTGAGAAAACAAACTATAGCACTGGAGCACAAATCCAAATTACAGTCACAATTTATAAAGCAGAAACACCCCTGGTCCGACTGGGTTCACTGGAGGGTAGTCCAAGGAATAACAACAGCCTGATTTGTGAAGGAATTCCTGCCTCAGGTAGAGCTCAACTATTTCATATTTTTGGTTGGCTCCAACTTTTAGCCTTGTCATTACGTATAAGAATGCCTTGCAACTGTGCAAAGGGAAAAGATGCATCAAGTACTGAAATCCCACATAATCCTATGGAAACTTGGTCTGTAGAAAACTGGCCAAACATAATGATAAACACCTCAGATAACATAATAGAAAGTAGTTCCACCAAACCAATGTATCCACTCTCATGAAAGAATACATACAAATGCTGTTGCAGGGCAATACCAATGCCCAGATATCAAACCCACATTTTCAGAGGAAATCCCTATATGTATAGCCCAATGAGCTAAAGCCATGGCATCGCAGGCAAGGACCTTCAAGTACACACTCAAATGTACAAACAAACATATCAAACAAATCAATGTTATATGCTCTGCCTCAAAATGACATATGTTAGCATATTTGTATTTACAATAAATATGTTGATTAATATTTCTCGGTACATTTTGAAAAGGCATATAATTTCAAACAGCAGTATTTAGCAGAACAGTAAAGTGATTGTAATAATTATCTACTCTATAAAGGTGTTATTGCCAGATGGCTATCTAATTTGCTCAGTGTATTTTTCTATTATATACACTACCATTCAAAAGTTTGGGGTCACATAGACATTTCCTTGTTTTCGAAAGAAAAGCAATTTTTTTGTCCATTAAAATAACATCAAATTGATCAGAAATACAGTGTAGACATTATTAATGTTGTAAATGGCTATTGTAGCTGGAAACTATTTTTATTGGCCAGTCTGAGATATGGCTTTTTCTTTGCAACTCTGCCTAGAAGGTCAGCATCCCGGCGTCGCATCTTCACTGTTGACGTTGAGACTGGTGTTTTGCGGGTACTATTTAATGAAGCTGCCAGTTGAGGACCTGTGAGACGTCTGTTTCTCAAACCAGACACTCTAATGTATTTGTCCTCTTGCTCAGTTGTGAACCGGGCCTCCCACTCCTCTTTCTATTCTGGTTAGAGCCAGTTTGCGCTGTTCTATGAAGGGAGTAGTACACAGCGTTGTACGAGATCTTCAGTTTATTGGCAATTTCTCGCATGGAATAGCCTTCATTTCTCAGAACAAGAATAGACTGACGAGTTTCAGAAGAAAGTTCTTTGTGTCTGGCCATTTTGAGCCTGTAATCAAACCCACAATTGCTGATGCTCCAGATACTCAACTAGTCTCAAGAAGGCCAGTTTTATTGCTTATTTAAATCAGCACAACAGTTTTCAGCTGTGTTAACATAATTGCAAAAGGGTTTTCTAATGATCAATTTGCCTTTTAAAATGATAAACTTGGATTAGCAAACACAACGTTCCATTGGAACACAGGACTGATGGTTGCTGATAATGGGCCTCTGTACGGCTATGTAGGTATTCCATTAAAAATCAGCCGTTTCCAGCTACAATAGCCATTTACATTAACAATGTCTACACTGTATTTCTGATCAATTTTATGTTATTTTAATGGACAAAAAATAAAAATAAAAATAAAAACAAGGACATTTCTAAGTGACCCCAAACTTTTGAACGGTAGTATACATGTACACCTGTATTTTTTTAGATAATACCGTTTTTAATGTATTCCTGTATGCCAGAAAACAAAAATGAGATACAACTGTAATTCATTTAAAGTATTTTTTCCATTTTGGTTTCTTCTACTACCAAATGCTATCAACAATGTTGACAATTCTGCTGACTAATTGTTACTGAGAATATGGAACATCACATTGTTATGAGTTATGATGCCATTTCAAAATAAACAAAAGCTTGTTATTCTATAACCAATAAGCAGTGCTATGTTTCATGTTTAATGAGATGCATATGAATGCTGTGCATTTTCCATTGATGTCCGCCATAGTAAATATGTAACTTCAAAGTCAAGCGATGAGAGTTAAGATGAGCACAGGCTTTCCAGCTGGTCTGGGTACAAGAACTTCACTACCTCCCGGATCCCATCCTCACAGGTCCTGGGATTGGGAAATTCCTTATGATTGTCTTCTTCCTCCTTGAATCTTTTCCAAGTCTCTGTGTAAAAAGAACAAAGAATTTACATGTTGCCATCCAACAGTAGACAAAAAGCGTACAAATCCATAACAACTTTTTTTTCCCCCAGCAGGAAACAAGATGGTTACTGACAAGAGGAAGCAGCCATTTTTTAATCAGTTGAAATGAAATTCCATTTCCTTTGGTCTACAATATGTCTGGTCTATGACCTTATGTCTATAAATGGTTTGAGCTGTATTGTCCAACAATTCAGATGGGCAAAACAATGGAAAAGCTCTACTTAAAAGAAACTAAAGGATGACAAGATTTATAACTAGAGAACTACTTTTAATTACCGGAAAATAAAGGTATGCATACAAAAACAAAAAAAACATACAAAAAACATGGATAAACTCACCTTCATCCAATGTTGCCAGTAAAGTGTAGTTATCTGGATTATCTATAAGGTCTTTCTTCAGAACATCCCCAGTTTCCATTAACTGTAAAACTCCTGGGAAAAGTGAAAATAAATATTGGGTGACATTCTGAATAGTTAGGTAATCCAAAGCTGTAACTTTGTTATTAACACTGCCATGCTAGTGCCCTCTAATACTCCCCCCTCCTAGTTACCTCCTACTGTCTTCCATACTTGCACTTCAACTTCAGCAGTCCCTTGTCTTTCAATAGCAATTATCCTAACTGTGTCCTCTGTGTGAACCTTTGATGATGGCTTAACTTTGTACACCAAGAGGTTGTTATTGTCATGTCCAAGATTCATGTTCATGTAACAGTCAGTCCTGTTGCTCTCAGCATTAAGTTCTAGGGGCAAAAAACAGAGAGATTACAAATATATATATTGTTAAAAAGACATACTGTTGTAAACTGGTTTTGTCAAAACCTATGGTTAAAATACTTTTCTGAATTGCATTGTGAATAATGCTGAGCTACAGTACCTGGACAAATCTTGCAGCACTTCCCCTCGGTTTTAACGGGATGTTGGCATGGATACTGGCTAGGACATGTGAGGCGTTTGCAGTCCTGCATGCCATCCTTACAGGTGCATAGGATGCACTCCAGGACCTTCCCCAGGACTGGGTGCCACACATCACCATGAGAGTATGTGTTGCCGCTGTACTGACATGCTGAGAGAAAAAGGAAAAACATACACTACCGTTCAAAAGTTTGGGGTCACTTAGAAATGTCCTTGTTTTCCATGAAAACATACATGAAATGAGTTTGAATAGGAAATATAGCAAAATGAATAGGAAATGTAGTCATTGACAAGGTTAGAAATAATGATTTTTAATTGAAATAATATGATTGTGTCCTTCAAACTTTGCTTTCGTCAAAGAATCCTCCATTTGCAACAATTACTGCCTTGCGGACCTTTGGCATTCTAGTTGTCAATTTGTTGAGGTAATCTGAAGAGATTTCACCCCATGCTTCCTGAAGCACCTCCCACAAGTTGGATTGGCTTGATTGGAACTTCTTACGTACCATACGGTCAAGCTGCTCCCACAACAGCTCAATAGGGTTGAGATACGGTGACTGTGCTGGCCACTCCATTATAGACAGAATACCAGCTGACTGCTTCTTCCCTAAATAGTTATTGCATAGTTTGGAGCTGTGCTTTGGGTCATTGTCCTGTTGTAGGAGGAAATTGGCTCCAATCAAGCGCCGTCCACAGGGTATGGCATGGCGTTGCAAAATGGAGTGATAACCTTACTTCTTCAAGATCCCTTTTACCCTGTACAAATCTCCCACTTTACCACAACCAAAGCACCCCCAGACCATCACATTGCCTCCACCATGCTTGACAGATGGCATCAAGCACTCCTCCAGCATCTTTTCATTTGGTCTGCGTCTCACAAATGTTCTTCTTTGTGATCCGAACACCTCAAACTTCGATTCGTCTGTCCATAACACTTTTTTCCAATCTTCCTCTGTCCAGTGTCTGTGTTCTTTTGCCCATCTTAATCTTTTATTTTTATTGGCCAGTCTGAGATATGGCTTTTTCTTTGCAACTCTGCCTTGAAGGTCAGCATCCCGGAGTCGCCTCTTCACTGTTGACGTTGAGACTGGTGTTTTGTGGGTACTATTTAATGAAGCTGCCAGTTCTCGCATGGAATAGCCTTGATTTCTCAGAACAAGAATAGACTGACGAGTTTCAGAAGAAAGTTATTTGTTTCTGGCCATTTTGAGCCTGTAATCGAACCCCCAATTGCTGATGCTCCAGATACTCAACTAGTCTCAAGAAGGCCAGTTTTATTGCTTCTTTAATCAGCACAAGAGTTTTCAGCTGTGCTAACATAAAGGGTTTTCTAATGACCAATTAGCCTTTCAAAATGATAAACTTGGATTAGCAAACACAACATGCCATTGGAACACAGGACTGATGGTTGCTGATAATGGGCCTCTGTACGCCTATGTAGATATTCCATTAAAAATCAGCCGTTTCCAGCTACAATAGACATTTACAACATTAACAATGTCTACACTGTATTTCTGATCAATTTGATGTTATTTTAATGGACATAAAAAATGCTTCTCTTTCGAAAACAAGGACATTTCTAAGTGACCCCAAACTTTTGAACGGTAGTGTATATACTTTAGTATTACACATTATTACAATCACAGAGCTGTAAGAGTTATAATACATGGGCTGCTCAATGACCAGGGAAGTGACCTGTAGGACATGAAAATAGACCTACAATTAATGGGATAATAATAACAATAATAACAATAATAATAATAATAATAATAGGATGAATAGCATGAATGAATATGATTAATTATTGTAGGGCTATCATTTAACTCTCACCCTTCTGGTGCTTTTTCTGCAGCAGGAAATTCACTGTGGTCTCTGCAGCACCTTTGAAGTGGAGTTTGGGCAGGCTCAGGCCTCTGGGAGTACCCCTGACTGTGGATGGAGTAGAACCGACAGACCGCCCTCGGAGCAGCTCTCCAGCACACTGGTCCACTGAATGCCTCTTGTGTATTCACAGACACAAATATACACAGTTATTTTGGATTTATGTGCAGTTCCAATGCCACTGAGTTGGATCCCCACCCCACCCCACCCCAGGTAAAGTTGATTTACATGCCCCACAAATGAAGATTAAATATTAATTGTTGTCTTCTCTGCACAGGTGGCGTGTTTTGGATGTTATGGTTTTGCTAATCTACAAGACTAAAGACATGAATGAATGAACAGAAAAACACATACAACGCCTCGGTTCAGCTGTTGGCCTACATCCTCCACTGATGAGTATCCATTAATGCCACCATCTAATCAAAGAGAAATGAGGAGGATATACATTGACTTTGATTACAACAGAAGGTAGGGTGAAAATCTGCTGTGTTAAGAAACAAATGTGATCACCTTTGCACACCAGACAGCAGGTATCTGGGAATGAGACTGGTGAGGAGCAGGTCAGCGGCTGGCAAGTTTTCAGAGCACAGAAGATATTTCCATTCTAAAAACAAGAGAGGAAGAAAGCCAAAGGTGAAGGAAGAACATAAGTGATTGTAGACATTGCCGGCCCTAAGCTACATTTTGTTGGGGGGCCCCCCAACTCGCAGGCAATTCATTTTAGTGGCCCCCCTCTTGACAGTGGAGATAAAAAGAAAATGTACGAGTTAATTTCCTGCAATTCTACTCATTTTGCCATGGGGCGTAGATAGAAATGTGCAGTTTTAGTGCAATGCCAGTTTTAAAGCTAATTTCTTGCAGTTCTACACACTTTGCCATGACTTATGCCATGTTAATATGATATCTGAGTGAGTGTGACTAACAAAATCAATGGATAGAAATTTGGGCACATGCCCTTTCTTGCCCGGTCGACAATTCAACCATGATTACTACAAGTTTAGATAGTTGGCTAGACTAATTTACCAATCTAAACAGTTTTAGCTGACATGGGCTAATTTAGTGACTGTCTGTGACTGAAATAACAAGAGAAAAACTGCTGATGCATAACCAAATTTCAAAATTGCACCTTGTGTATTCTACTATTCTAACTCTCAACAATAAATTGAGACCCAACTGAGTTCCTACAAAAAAAACAAAAAAAATAGTTGCTTATGCTTGGGGCGGGCACTGCCACAGGGGTAGATACATTAAAAGCTCCATTATTATGGCTGACACATGAGGAAAAACTCCCAGTTATGTTCTCAGAGTAATAAGCTGTACACTATAAACTAGAGGAAGAGAGAGTGTGATTACCGAACATGTGCACATGACACACTGGTTGGTTTGTCGAGATGGGAAGAGGTCATGGTTGGTAAAGGTCTCCCCTGGTTGGTAGAAAGTTCCATTATACCGGCAGGACTTCACTGGGGCTCTCAAGCCTGCTGGAATCCTAGGCTCATCTGAGCAGATAATGAATGGCAAGCACAAGATGTGTAAGTGAATGCCAAAGCAGGAGGTTTTTCTTATGTTTTACAGACCTCTAGCCTTCTTTTCCTCAAGGATATAAATGGTGGATACAATTGAAGATCAAGTCCTGTGACTAGACATGACATAAAAGCACACAGGTACTAGTATTCCAATGGTGTCATAGAAATGATTAAATAACTTTAATTGTACTGCCTGTGTGCTTATTGTATGAGAATGCCTGATCCTACCTGTACAGTGAGGGCAGCACTGCTGAGAGTCAGTCACTGGGTTCTCACACCGCAGAGTAGGACACTTAATTGTGTTACATTTCACATGGCCTGTCTATGGGGGAAACGTTACATGGTTTACGGGCATACCTTAAAATCCCACCCACCAAAACCCTTTCAAGCAACTGCTAATATGATATATAGCTAGTAGCCTAAATCCTCTTTGCACACAGTAGCCTACAATCCAATATCACTCAGATTCAGACAGTTTGATACAGTAGTAGTCTATAGGGCAGTGTTGGGCTCCTCTTGGTACACTTTTACATGGTTTCATATTAGGCTACAGATGTGACAAAACTGACCAATGACTTATTCTAATTCTATGGGTACGGTACCTCAGTGCAGGAACACCGCATACAAAACATGAATCCAAAGGGTTCCAGATAAGGATGCCAGCTGTCTCCTGGACTGTATGTTTTGTCTTTGAAAGAACAGAAAACTGCAGACACTGGGTGCAAAAAAAGGGAAAGTAAAGATGGAAGGTAAGATGGAAAGCTATTTTAGCAGCAGAAGCACTTTAATACCATATGAAGCAAAGCAGGAATTTTCATAAACAGAAAACGAATGAGACTAATGTAATAAAAAATAATCTTCCATGGCTCACAAACCTGTCAGAGTAATAACTGGCAATGTCTTCTGGCAAAACACACGTGGATTAAATCAGTATGTATTGTCATAAATTATGTTATATGGTTATATAATTAATCAATTTCAACCGGAATTAGCACAATTTAATACTAAATTGTTTAATACTACACTGACCTTATAGACAGGCCAGAAATACACGCACTGTATAATCTTGCCAAATATAGAAAAAAGTTGGTTGCAACAATGATGAGAAAAGTGAAAATAACAAACCCATATTTAATCGCAAGTAGCGAGTAGTTGTAGTGTATTCCTATAGTAAAACTGTTTGCTTTTAACTACATAGACGCATTTAATCAATTGCGGATAACGGTTTAACTTTAGATTTGCAGAGAACGTCTGTCCTACCTTTTCTTGTTCTTATAACATCCGCGGCACAACCAGCGAACAAACGGATGCAAATGAATAAGAAAATATGCTTCATGTTGGGGGATAAGTCCTTGTCAACATGAAATGAAATAGCACCAACTGCGACAGCAAACCCCAGGACAGTGTGAAACTCCCCATAAAAGCACGAATTTATTCTTGGTTTTCATCGAAGGCGCCTCCTACAGGAAGAATACGCCAATTTATAAACTGGGGTGAAGTGAATGATGTGATGTTGTCAAAGTTCAGGTCAGGACTTTGAAATCATTTGCTTTCAAAGAAAGAGGATGGAATGAATAAGTCTCTTTAAGGGTGTTGGTTGTCAAGTAGGCCTAACGCCTATATTGTCAAATTACTAATTGGAGGTATAGAGCATATTAATACTGTCTCTAAAATGCACATGTAGCCCTAAAATAAACCCTATTAGACATTTCAGTGACATTATATAATGAAAGTGGGATGGGAGCCTGTGATGTCATAATAAAAATGGGATGGGAGCCTATGATGACATAATGGAAATGACATGCCCTCCTTGAGCTCAAAATCCTGCTGCTCATTTGTCAAAGATTCTAAGGCAGATAACACCTTTCAATACGGAGAATCACCCTCTTACTGGAGCACAATGGTTAGGACCCGTGCGCAAGTGGCGCTGCTTGCTCAACGCAACGACCAGCGCCTGGGTCGCCGTGGAGGGCCACAAAGTCTGAGGCCCCGTCATGACAGACATCAGAGAGATAGGCCACGGAGTCGACGCCCCCGATGTCAAGTGGGTCCGATGGTTGAGAAATGGAGATGGCCGCGAAAAAGATTAAGCTTGCTTCCACAGTCAAGATCATTTGCAGATGTGAGACGAGGACTGAAGGGCCGACGCATGGTACTTCGTGTTGGAGAACTGCCCAATTAGAAATTAAAGTACAGAGGCCACAAAGCATTAAAGCATTTGTAAAGATACTTTTAGGCCTCCTGTTTTTGTTCTCTAGACATCTAGCTACCCTCCCCAAAAAAGCTGAAAGGGCCTACAAGGGCTACCAACACACTGCAATGTTATGGGACACAACATAAAGGCCTATTAATCAACATTTCTCCAGCATTTATTCAAACATACAGGAAACATACAGGGATTAAAACAGTTACAGCTAGATGCCATCATGCTGACATCTTTACAGACAGAGCAAGGGAAAGAGCGCATAGAATAAAAGATCAACACAGCAATGTCCATATAGCATAGGAAACTCATTTCAATCCTCATTTAAAATGTGACTGATTCAGTTTGACCAGACTAGATTACACAATGGAGTAGAGCTGTATTACACTTGCTGAAGGTAACAGTGATTTATAGACAGTGAGATCCCAGTGTTTTGCATCTCTAAATGAGACACTTCCCCATGAATATGACCCCAAAAATTGTATCATCAACTTGATGTTTGCTAATATCTCTACCATGTAGGCCTACAAACTGCAGTGGTTTCATTCTCAAGTTAAGTCTTTAGCCCCCTTGACTTTTAATTTGTGGGATCGAAACGCTGTATAGGCCTGAGAACAAAGACTTAGGGCTCTATTCAAACCATACCGCAGAAGATCAGTGTTACCCACTGGGCACAGCCGTCAATCCTACGTCTATTCCACATTGGTTCAACGTAATTTCATTGAAATGACGTGGAAACAACATTGATTCAACCAGTGTGTGTCCAAGTGGGTACAGCGTGTTTTACATTTAGTGGAGACTGCATTCATGGTAAACGCCGCATATGTCAGCTCAATCGGGAATCACCTTTACATTTCTATCACACAATCTGTAACGCTTCAGCGATACAGATTGAATAGAGCCCATTATGTAGCTAAAAACACACAAAAACGTTCTAATAAAAAAATTGTTGTAACGCCTAATTGCCACTAGATGTCACAATAGGAATAATTTTCCTTGTAAAAGTGAAAACAGACAAAGGCTAAACCCTCAGGCAACTTACTGTTGCCCCTCATGGTGGTGCTACTCTCCTCTTCGCTTTCACTGAGAAAAAGGACTCATTTGTGTGGGAGAAATTACAGGACTTTGGGGTAGACAGAAAGAAAGCCAATAGAGAAAATGCTCTTATCAGACTTCCACAAGACCAATTTGGTTGGAACATAAAAACAGTCAACCAGAGTCAAGGACAGAGGAGATACATAATTCAAGAACCTTCCGTACATACCCACAAGTTTCACCTATTGTATATGTCCTGGGAAAGATGTAGGATCTTTCAATGTAGTAGGCCTACTGTAGGTTAAGCCTGTACAAGAACAGTTTAGAGGTACTCCCTCTGCGCTCCTCATACGTTTTCTCTCTTTTACACTCAGTCACTTACTCACACACATATACAAGCCCTCTCAGGAGGTGGAGGTGCTCCCTGCCCCGGTGTCTTCATCTCCTGTCTTCTGACGTTTCTTGGCCCGGATCTCATTCATGGCCTGCTCTATGGAGCGGGTGTCCCTTTTGTTGGCCACAGGTACTGAGGGGGGAGAGACAAATACATTTTTGTTAGGCAAAGAACACAGCACACACCATGAGGAGATGTGATTCACTGAGGATGAGAAATCACATACTGAGCCTCTTCACACTCACCCATGCCATATGCCTGGTTGGCCTCTAGCGTATGTGCTGCATCCTTAGCAGAAGAGGTGCCGATCAGATGGCTGTACTTGTCACGGTAATTGGAGCTGGGAGATGCTGCCCTCTTCTGTGTCTTACTGGCGGTCTCCTCTTCCAACGCGGCCTGCTCCTGAAGAGCAGTGGGCAGGTTTAATTATCAAACACTTTCTTTGAGCAACAGCTCTGAACCCAACCTACACTCACTAGCACAGAGAGGCTGCTGCCTACATACAGACTTGAAAATCATTGGCCTCTTTAAATGGCCTCTTTAAATGGAACATTAGTCACTTTAATAATGCCACTTTAATAATGTTTACATATCTTGCATTACCCATCTCATATGTATATACTATCTTAATAATGTTTACATATCTTGCATTACCCATCTCATATGTATATACTGTATTCTATACTATCTATTGCATCTTAGCCTATGCCACTCTGATAATGACATTGCTCATCCATATATTTATATATTCTTATTCCATTCCTTAGATTTGTGTGTATTAGGTATTTGTTGTGGAACTGTTAAATATTACTTGCTAGATTTAGCTGCACTGTCGGAACTAGAAGCACAAGCATTTCGCTACACTCGCAATAACATCTGCTAACCATGTGTATGTGACCAATACATTTGATTTGAGATATTGTGCTGAGTGAAGGCAAGACTGCAGCATATTAGAGAACAAAGGGTTACCTGCAACATGTCAATGAGTACAGCTAGAGTGATTAGATCTATTAAGGTGTAGCAAGACTCAAGTGTGAACCATCAGTACTGCTATGTTATAACAAGTCTGCATTACTTTAATCGGATTTTTCTCTGTGTAAATTAATGTATTCTGCCAAATGATATACAGTTACGGACATGTATAGTATAATATGTGCTTCTCTTCAGTTTTGTTCCTCAATGAGTGTGAGTGACTGTTTGTGTCTCCAGTCTTACTTTAAGTCTGCGACGGTATTCAGCTTTCTGGGGGTCCCACTCCTCTCCTTTCCGGTAAGCCTCCAGCTCGTCGTCTGATGGAGCAAACTCCTGCCAGAGTCATTTTGAATACATATTTTCAGTTATGCATCAGGGAGAATAACAAATATACAACGCATAATAAAATGCCAGCACTATGCACTAAAATCATAGTACAACTCATGGGAAGGGCATGCCAATCTGGTGATATTTGTGAATGCAGCCATAAAGAATATCCAAAGAGGTCTTCTTTACCTTCTTAAAAATCATGACGTATCTGCTCTCCTCATCCTCTTCGAAAGAAAACGATGCCAGACCAGCGACTTCTGCAACATCATGCCTTTAACAAGCCAGGATGTCAGTAAAAGTTTACATGTAAAAAGAGATGCGCAACTGTTACATATTATGTTTGTAGTCCTCTCATAAAATAAAGTTAAAGTTTTATTACATTATGTTCTCTATTTATAGATTAAAATATATATTTATAATGTTTCACTTACAATATGCTCCTTTCAATCTTTCCCATGGGACTGTACTTCCTCTTCTGTTGCTTAGTGTCTTGAATGAATTCTGACACCTCTTTCTCCATCTGAAAAAGAGATGAAGGCGGTATAAACTGGATTGATCTTTGCCCACCAAAGATCAGTCAATGAAGAATTGGAAACAATTCTTGGATTTGTTTCTTGGGATTTAGAGCTGTCTTGTCCAAGTTACTGACTGGACATTCCACTGGGTGAGCAGAAAATGACCCCACAAAGGAGTCAGACAGAACATAATGACCCAGCTTCAGACAGAGCCTCTCACCCTTTTCCTGAACTCTGCTTTCTTTTTCTTCTCATCCTCCTGCATCTTCTTCATTCTTGCCGCCTGTTCTGTTGAGGGATAGAAAACAAGGTTATATTATTACATTGTTTTCATACTGAAAATGTAGGCCTATTAATTCCCACGAGTAGATGTTATAACCGATTGATTGTCTGAATAGCCTATAATTATATATATTATATATTTCCTATACCATACTTTTATTACCTGGACATCACTTTCATTATGTTGGTAAACTCTGGATTTAGTGTCATCTGAGCAAATGCATCCATAGAGCAAGAGGATCCTATGCTATAGCTGCTTACGTGTAATTCATATATCATTTCCGGACGAGGTTCTACTGACATAACCTTAGTACATGTGACTTGCATAAGAACTGTTCAGTCTGATGTTCATTATTATCAAATAACGCACCCACTGGGCACACTACGTCATTTCAACGTGGATAATTGGATAATATTTGGTTGAGACGTTGTTCAATAAGATAACAACCTATATTCAGCCACTCAAAAAGACAGCCAAAGTTAGTTGAATTTCCAATGTGTTATCAATATGCTTTCAACCATCTTCCAATGGAAAAACAACATCTGTTTTTTGTTTAGTTGTCACCTAAATGTCTATCACTGCGCTTTCAACCATTTAAAAGCACAGCAATGTTCAAATAGGAATACAATGTCAGATATTTAGTTTGTTTATACAACAGATGAATGTGTTATCACTGTGCTTCATCTAATAGCAGAACCAAATGACCTGGATTGCAGTTGAGATTACATTAAAAGTACATGGCACAAGTAATAAATGTCATTCGAGATTCTGAGCAGATTATTAAAGCAATGTGAAGATCTCCACAGACCTGTGATGACCTATGCATGCTATCTTGAAAATGCACACTTTATATGATTGCATAAGAAGAAATGTATAGTAACAGTAACCTCAAAACTGTGGCCATGGGTGTTATTCATTTAAAGGTTAAATGTTATATTAGTTTGTGTTAACTTTAGGTTATTTACTGTATTACAAAAGTAATAGACAAAAGCTATAGAATAGGACTAAATCAAATCAAACTTTAAATAAAGTTTGATTTGATGTAGTCCTATTCTTTAACTTAGATTTTTGGTTGAGATGGAGACTTGAATCCAACATATCAATTTGTAAGATTGAACTATCCAAGCAGAAGACATCTCCATCAAATGTTGATATTTGGTTGCGTTGACACCAAACAATTCAAAATCAATAAATATCATAACATTTTAAATCAACCCGAGGTTGAAACCCTAGGCCTATTGTATTGTCCATTTTCTGTTGAATTCTGGGTTGAATTCTAACAGTTGCTCGATGACATGCAAATGCTATATAAAGTGCATTCAGAAAGTATTCAGACTCCTTGACTTTTTCCACATTACAGCTTTATTCTAAAATGGATTAAATAAAAAAATATCCTCAATCTACACAAAATACCCCATAATGACAAAGCGAAAACTGGTTTTTAGAAATTATTGCACATTTTTTACAAATAAAAACAGAAATACCTTATTTACATACAGTGGGAAGAACAAGTATTTGATACACTGCCGATTTTGCAGGTTTTCCTACTTACAAAGCATGTAGAGGTCTGTAATTTTTATCATAGGTACACTTCAACTGTGAGAGACGGAATCTAAAACAAAAATCCAGAAAATCACATTGTATGATTTTTAAGTAATTCATTTGCATTTTATTGCATGACATAAGTATTTGATACATCAAAAAAGCAGAACTTAATATTTGGTACAGAAACCTTTGTTTGCAATTACAGAGATCATACGTTTCCTGTAGGTCTTGACCAGGTTTGCACACACTGCAGCAGGGATTTTGGCCCACTCCTCCATACCTTCAGGTCTCGGGGCTGTCGCTGGGCAATACGGACTTTCAGCTCCCTCCAAAGATTTTCTATTGGGTTCAGGTCTGGAGGCTGGCTAGGCCACTCCAGGACCTTGAGATACTTCTTACGGAGCCACTTCTTAGTTGCCCTGGCTGTGTGTTTCAGGTCATTGTCATGCTGGAAGACCCAGCCACGACCCATCTGCAATGCTCTTACTGAGGGAAGGAGGTTGTTGGCCAAGATCTCGCGATACATGGCCCCATCCATCCTCCCCTCAATACGGTGCAGTCGTCCTGTCCTCTTTGCAGAAAAGCATCCCCAAAGAATGATGTTTCCACCTCCATGCTTCACGGTTGGGATGGTGTTCTTGGGGTTGTACTCATCCTTCTTCTTACTCCAAACACGGCGAGTGGAGTTTAGACCAAAAAGCTCTATTTTTGTCTCATCAGACCACATGACCTTCTCCCATTCCTCCTCTGGATCATCCAGATGGTCATTGGCAAACTTCAGACGGGCCTGGACATGCGCTGGCTTGAGCAGGGGGACCTTGCGTGCGCTGCAGGATTTTAATCCATGACGGCGTAGTGTGTTACTAATGGTTTTCTTTGAGACTGTGGTCCCAGCTCTCTTCAGGTCATTGACCAGGTCCTGCCGTGTAGTTCTGGGCTGATCCCTCACCTTCCTCATGATCATTGATGCCCCACGAGGTGAGATCTTGCATGGAGCCCCAGACCGAGGGTGATTGACCGTCATCTTGAACTTCTTCCATTTTCTAATAATTGCGCCAACAGTTATTGCCTTCTCACCAAGCTGCTTGCCTATTGTCCTGTAGCCCATCCCAGCCTTGTGCAGGTCTACAATTATATCCCTGATGTCCTTACACAGCTCTCTGGTCTTGGCCATTGTGGAGAGGTTGGAGTCTGTTTGATTGAGTGTGTGGACAGGTGTCTTTTATACAGGTAACGAGTTCAAACAGGTGCAGTTAATACAGGTAATGAGTGGAGAACAGGAGGGCTTCTTAAAGAAAAACTAAGAGGTCTGTGAGAGCCGGAATTCTTACTGGTTGGTAGGTGATCAAATACTTATGTCATGCAATAAAATGCAAATGAATTACTTAAAAATCATACAATGTGATTTTCTGGATTTTTGTTTTAGATTCCGTCTCTCACAGTTGAAGTGTACCTATGATAAAAATTACAGACCTCTACATGCTTTGTAAGTAGGAAAACCTGCAAAATCGTCAGTGTATCAAATACTTGTTCTCCCCACTGTAAGTATTCAGACCCTTTGCTCTGAGACTAACTTGAGCTCAGGTGCATCCTGTTTCCATTGATCATCCTTGAGATGTTTCTACAACTTGATTGGAGTCCACCTGTGGTAAATTCAATTGATTGGACATGATTTGGAAAGGCACACACCTGTCTATATAAGGTCCCACAGTTGACAGTGCATATCAGAGCAAAAACCAAGCCATGAGGTCGAAGGAATTGTCTGTAGAGCTCCGAGACAGGATAGTGTCGAGGCACAGATTTGGGGAAGAGTACCAAAAAAGTACTGCAGCATTGAAGGTCCCCAAGAACACAGTGGCCTCCATCATTCTTAAATGGAAGTAGTTTGGAACCACCAAGGCTCTTCCTAGAGCTGGCCGCCCGGCCAAACTGAGCAATCGGGGGAGAAGGGCCTTGGTCAGGGAGGTGACCAAGAACCTGATGGTCACTCTGACAGAGCTCCAGAGTTCCTCTGTGGAGATGGGATAACCTTCCAGAAGGACAACCATCTCTGCAGCACTCCACCAATCAGGCCTTTATGGTAGAGTGGCCAGACGAAAGCCACTGTTCAGTAAAAGGCATATGACAGCCCGCTTGGAGTTTGCCAAAAGGCACCTAAAGTCTCTCAGAACATGAGGTCTGATGAAACCAAGATTGTACTCTTTGGCCTGAATGCCAAGTGTCACGTCTGGATGAAACCTGGCACCATCCCTACGGTGAAGCATGTTTGTGGCAGCATCATGCTGTGGGGATGTTTTTCAGGGGACTGGGAGACAAGTCAGGATCAAGGAAAAGATGAACGGATCAAAGTACAGAGAGATCCTTGATGAAAACCTGCTCCAGACTGGGGTGAAGGTTCACCTTCCAACCGGACAACGACCCTAAGCACACAGCCAAGACAATGCAGGAGTGGCTTTGGGACAAGTCTCTGAATCTCCTTGAGTGGCCCAGCCAGAGCCCGGACTTGAACCCGATCTAACATCTCTGGAGAGACCTGAAAATAGCTGTGCAGCGACGCTCCCCATCCAACTTGACAGAGCTTGAGAGGATCTGCAGAGAAGAATGGGAGAAACTCCCCAAATACAGGTGTGCCAAGCTTGTAGTGTCATACCCAAGAAGACTCACGGCTGTAATCGCTGCCAAAGGTGCTTCAACAAAGTACTGAGTAAAGGGTCTGATTTGAATTGAATACTTATGTAAATGTGATATTTCTGTTTTTTATTTTATAAATTTGCTCAAGTTTCTAAACCAGTTTTTGCTTTTTCATTATGGGGTATTGTGTGTAGATTGATGAGGGGAAAATACCCTATTTAATCAATTTTAGAATAAGGCTGTAACGTAACATTTGAAAAAAGTCAAGGGGTCTGAATACTTTCCGAATGCACTGTAGGCCTAAATAACATAATTGGTGATTGATAAAGTATTGTCATATTGAATTTGCTCTGTTAAACCTACTCTTTGGAATGACTTCGAAAGCAACAGTGAAGTTTAAGTGGAGATCTCTCAATAAATCATTCTCACAATAGCACATGGATAATAGTCAGTGACAAATATAGCTGGGCTTGCTTAAAACTTTGGAAGGGAGCCCAAAGGGTAGATAGATAAATTATCCAGTAGGAGGTGCTGCCCAGCCTATTTTTCTGATAGCAGATATGTTGAAAATCTGACTTTTTTTAAAGGTACAAATTCAACATTTTATACAAGGTTTGTCTATGTTGAAATTTGGTTACCATGAGGACATAATCATGTGGTTTAAATTTCACCCTCAAACAAGTTTAAGTTTATGACGTTTTTCAAATCAAATGTATTTTCCACGTAGATTCCACGTCACAATACGTTGACAAATTACGTTGAAACAACATTGATTAAACCAGTTTGTGCCAGTGACTGTAAAAGAGGCGGTGCTGCTTTGCGTGCGCAAACATAAACATTGAATGATGGATCATTTGGCCAATGAGAGCACTAGAAGGACTGATTTTGACCAATCGGAGACATCTTAAATAAGAACGCAATTCACTACAAGGGCAAATCGTTCGTGACTAGTTACTTTTCTGTACAGATGATCGGGAGGTTGAGAACTCCACGGAAGGGATCCTGTATCCAGCTAAATTTACGAAAAACTCTTATCTTTACAATCGAATAATTACAAACGAATTGAGGATAAATAACTATAGATTAATATTGATTATACCTCGGGCCTTTCGTCGGCTCTCCTTGTCGCCGACTGTAGGAGGTTTTTCCATCGAACTCAAGATTGAGCCCAGGAGGTCCGCCATCTTGGACTGAATGATCACTACCGGAAGCACGTTGTTTAAAATCATTCGTGGTGAGGGAATACGCATGCGCATTCAACAAAGAATATTATAATAATCAGCATAACAGGCTATTTATTATAGCCTTCTATGGACAAATTATGGATAGTATTAGTGAATGTACTGAAATAATATATCCAGTAGTCATCTTTTTTGTTTCTTGAGTTTAATTACGGTGCCTTTTTTTCTGTTGTCTGATTGTCTGTGTATGCTACACGGAAAAACCCAAATAAAAAACACTTTTTTTTTCAATGTATTGCAATTTGCAATATACGTTTATCTAATATTTATAATAGCTCTAATCAATGATAGAACATTTTCTTCAAGAAATAAATATCAGGTAGCCTAGCAGTAGCGGTTAGGAGTGTTGGGCCAGTAACTGAAAGGTTGCTGGTTCGAATCCCTGAGCCAAGTAATTTAGGTGAAAAATCTGTTTATGTTCCTTTGAGTGAGGTGATGAACCCTAATTGCTCCTGTAAGTTGCTCTGGATAAGAGCGTCTGCTAAAATGTAAGACATTAAATATAAAGCATTAATATCCCTTTTCATGAAAACATACAACTAGAGATTGATCAGTTGAAGGGAGGATTATGTCTTACAGTTCAAGTCACACTAAATGTATGAAAAGAGGAACTCTGTAAACAGTTGTAGAAGACAGAAGTCTAGTAAACCATGCAGTGTGTATACGGATGCGTCATTGAACTTCATTGACATTGTATCAGTCAATGTGATTTCTCTCTGTCAAGAGGTGAAGAATCTTGTTGATCTTAAGATGAGGTATGAATCAGCTCTTTCATTCACACACTAATGGAAGGAGCAGCAGGTAGAACTGTGTTTGGACGATTTAATCTGACATAAATTCTGGTTTTCCAGTATGTGCAGTGCATAGTTCTAACACAAAAGCTGTCATTATTGGCAACACAACAAGTAACCTTGATGTCTCTCCCTGCCCACTCCCCGTTTCTCACTCTGCAAAGGTCAGACCTCCAGTTGTCTTGAGGGTTTATTTCAACACAGGAAATGGGGTAGAAGGAGAGAGTCAGCAAAGGGAAGTAGTAGTGACAGACAGCAGACTGGAGGGGGAAGATGTGAAGTGCATGAAGACTCACCAGGACGCTTCTGTACTCTGGCTGGCCATTATTCACTCACATAGTGTCTGAGCCCTGTGAAAAATAAATTCCACAAGGTTGAGAAGAGCCTGTAAATGCACTGGGAAAGGGTGTGGGTCCATGAAGGTGTGTCCATTAGAGATGTGGATTGACATTAATTTAAAAACAAATTAGATTAAGAAGGCATAGAACAAGGGGGTGACCGGTGTGGATAATATATGGCTGTCTGCTAAACGTAAACCACCTTGTCTTCTTTCTGCTCACACACAAATGGATAACCAGATCCCTCAACGAGTGACTTTGTGATGAGCATCTAAATAGCATCAGATTTGATGCATACAGTATAAGGGATGCATCAATAGAAAGCCACTAGAATATTTTCTATAACCTGTTTGTAGCATGCAATAACTATTAACAAACCTGTTCAAAATGTCAATATTGTAAAACACTTTAGCCATTTTATGGTTATCGTGGGAGCATGGATATACTGTACGGAAGCTTGATATTATTGAAAATCAATGCAAAATATTTATCTTATCATAATTTTCACCATAGTCGGAAGGCAGACAGACCATGAAATCTACTGTGTTTGTGTGTGTGACGTGTGTGTGGCCCTGCCAAGCTGCTGGTAGATATGTTTGCATGACCACCTACAAAATACATAGGAGTTATATAAGATATAATTTTGTCTGATATTTTAAGGGCAAGCATAATACATTCAAAACAGGGCTTCTTTCTCTCTTTTTTTTGTTTCAAGACAACAAAATATAAGTTATGCAGGCAAGTTACAGTCTTAAGGAGTAATCTAGGCATTTATGTACATTGGGTAGTTGATTTTCAGTTCAACTTAGATTCTGTTAATAATATTACATAAACACAGCACAAAACTACATGTCAATCTGGTTGGATCTGTCATTTGCTCACTTCAGAATACTCACATGAATTCAACATGTTCCATATTCCAATTAATAACAGTAAAGTATTTACATACACCAGGGATTAAAACATAAACAAACAAGTATCAAAAATCACCGGGAACATTCATCAGTAATGACAGGGGGGATGACAATGGTGGAACAAATCTCTCTCTCATTCCAAAATCACTAGTGCCCTGGAGCATTTCCTGAGCCTTATCACAAACCAAGGGTTTACATGAGAGGTTCACATAGCAGGAGTAAGTCCTGATACTGGGGGTAATATCTACACGTAATTAACAGAAGTTAAATAGAGACGAAAATTGACAGAAATATATAAATTGGGAGAGATTCGAGAATAGTCATATTTGGTATGGAAAGAAAAACTACAATGAGCTACAGAAATATGCTAAGCAGCTGTGTGTCCAGGCTGTCCAATAAAATACCCAATATAATCTGCTTCCAAAACAACAGTCTAAATCTCAATCAAAGTCAGAATCATCATTTATGTCCCTGACCCCAAATATACCACCTCCCACCAGTCTAAATCCTGATTGCCCTTAGGTCCTGTGCATTTATTTACATATTTTGCAAAATATAGAAATACTATTTTACAGGCTGATGACAGTGTAAGTGAGTACATGTGTTTCTGTTTTGTTGTTTGTCAGTGTGCTCACCCATCATTTCTCCACTGCTAAAAGAGTTCCAAACTTCCTATGTCTAAAACAATAGTCTCATCAATTCAAACACCCCACTGGGCACAGACGTCAGTTCAACGTCTATTTTTGATTTACATTTGGTTGTCAAATAGTGTGAATACAAGTTTAAATTAACAAAACATGGAACCTTGTCATTGGATTTAGGTTAAAGGTTGGGTGAAAAAAAGAGGAAATTCCCTGACATTGACGACTTTTTACAAATCCAATCAGTTTTCCAAGTTGATTCAACATCATCACATAGATTGTTTTTTAAATTACAACATTGATTCAACCAGTTTTTGGCCAGTGGAACTTGACTTCACTCTGCTTCCCATCTCTCTGTCTGACTCATTCCCAGTGAGCTGAACACAGACAACATTATGGGGTGAACATTGCACTTTGAGGACAGCAGAATTCTTGATGTAAAGGTTATGATTTGCATGTTATGTGGCCTCATTTAAATGTTTTTGTTGCTAAAACAAAGCATCATAAAGACATTAAAAGACTGCTAGTAACCACAGTGGCTTGTACCCAGTGTCTTAGGCTGAGTAGGAATGATCTACTGTGCCTCTCATTACGGGGTCCACACTCCAGTCTTTAATGGAGGAGTAAAGAGGTTCTTCCAAACAAGCAGGGAAAGCCTTGGTTTTCATTGTCATTGACGCAGAAATGGTTTGATATGGAGGACAATACACGTCACATGGACACAGACCGTGTCAGCGGGCTGCAGACAGTAAATAAAGCAAAATGCCACGATGTGCCTGCCAGTGCAGAGCCTGGATCAGCCCGTCCCACCTGCTAGTGCAAAAATACTGCTTAGAGGGGCACTGCAAATCTGCACAAATAACTAAAGCCATGCCACATTTACACCCTGCTTGGGCTGGTCTCTCTTAAAGGGACATGCGCACAGTTTACACACAGAGAAGATACAAAGGAAGAAACTGCTGTTAAAGGACGCAGAGTGACGGGTCAGTCACATACGGAGATGACGAGTCAGACACTCATGTGATGCTAACCTTTGGCTCTCTGCTGGGTACTAGGCATCATACGGACTCACAGGCAGCTGCAGAGAAAAAGTGTATGTCCTATGACAGCACTAGTCACACAGTCAGTGTGAGAGCTGTGCCTCATGTTGCTTCGTGGCATCAAAGAGTTCTCATCTCATTGATAACACTGTCATTGTTGATGAAGTATGGTGCAGTTTGCTTGAAGATACCGAGCGCCTCCTTCATTCAACCACCATCACTCTCCATCTCCAACTTTGCCCTCATTGGTCTCTCTGGAAGACAGAAACCTAATGCTCCATGCTATGGCCTCACCCTCTGTTTGTGGACATTATCAGTCAGTGAGGGATCTGTAATATATATGATCTAATCTTTGTTTTTGCACATTAAAATATTTCCTTTTTTTATACATGATACAATGCAATGCTTGAAGCAAAAATGTTGCTGAGGACATGCAAGCGATTATACTGGAGAGAGAAAACGTTCCTTGATGTCATCGTCTTTTCTCCATGTTTCTCTGATTGTCCTTGGCACCATCGTTTCCTCTTCATGCTCGCGACTCTTTCTTGGACTGGGGCTTGTTTCCCAAGAGTGAGTCAATCTCAGCCACGGTCTGAGGAGTCATCTGTGAAATAAGCTGCAGACATAACATGGCATGTCAGTTTAGGACTAGGACATAATGGTTTGGTGATTGCTTGCTTGTTTGCTTAATCTATAATGGAATTTTAAGTGACATTAATAAGAATGCCTAAAAATACAGGTTCTTTTTTTGTATCATAAAAAAAAAATATATATATATATTTATATACAGGTATGCTTATATCACGACAATGTTATTAGTTTGATGAGCTCTGATTGAGTGTGCATTGCAGTGTAAAATTAAGATGGTGTGATGTTGAGGGGACGTTCGTTACCGTAAGGGCACCCAGGTTTTCCACCAGCTGGTCAGTGTTGGAGACACCCATCAGCACTGAGCTCACTCCCTCACTGCGCAGACACCAGGCTGAGAGGACAGAGATGGACAAAACAATTAACACACAAACACATGCACACACGCACACACACACACAGAGTCACACACACACATGCGCATACACAAACACACACTGTACCGATGGCTAGTTGTGCGGCGGTGCAGCCCAGTCTGTCGGCCATTAGGTGGAGCTCTTTAATCTTGGCCAGCTGCTTGTGTCCCTCCTCACTGTTGACACGCTCCTTCAGCCACTGGTAACCCTGCACCAATATTAAACGGAACGAACACAGAAATATTGAATTGTGTCATGCACGGTTGTAGGCCTACTGGACCAGTGGTGGAAAAAGTACCCAACTGTCATACTTGAGTAAAAGTAAAGATACCTTAATAGAAAATGACTCAAGTAAAAGTTAAAGTCACCAAGTAAAATTCTACTTGTGTAAAAGTCTAAAAGTATTTGGTTTAAAATATACGTAAGTATCATAAGTAAATCTAATTGCTAAAATGTACTTAAGTATCAAAAGTTAAAGTAAAAGTATAAATCATTTCAAATTCCTTATATGAAGCAAACCAGATGGCACCATTTTCTTGTTTTAAAATGTATGGAAAGCCAGGGTCACACTCCAACACTCAGACATAATTTACAAATGAAGCATGTGTGTTTAGTGAGTCCACCAGATCAGGCAGTAGGGATGACCAGGGATGTTCGGTTGATAAGTGCGTGAATTTGACTATTTTCCTGTCCTGCTAAGCATTCAAAATGTAACGAGTACTTTTGGGTGTCTAGGAAAATGTATGGAGTGAAAAGTACAATATTTTCTTAAGGAATGTAGTGAAGTAAAGTACAGATACCTAAGAAAACGACTTAAGTAGCACTTTAAAGTATTTTTCCTTAAGTACTTTACACCACTGTAATGGACAAACAGTGGGGTAGCAGCTACAGAACTCCAATTAAGTAGAAAACACAGGGGAATATACACTAATTAAAAACATGTTTATTTTGTCTGGAGAACTCACTTTTATATTAGCCCTGGAGATGTCAGGTACACCCTCACTGTACTTCCCTGTAATCAGTCCACACGCAAGGGGAGACCAGGTCATTGCCCCTACACCTAGACAAGAGAGGGAGAAAGACAAATATAATGTCTGAAGAGTTCACCGCAAGCAGCATTGTGAGGACATCCGGTGCTGTTTGCTGTTTGCTGAGCTGTGTGAGTGTGGATGACTGACCTATCTTGTGGTAGAGTTCAGGGAGCTGCACCTCCACCTTGTCCCTCTGGAAGTAGTGATACTCAGCCTGCTCACATACAGGTGGGATCAGGTTGAACTGACGCGCCACTGAGTACGCCTCCTGGTGGCAGGGGAACAGAATAACACCATCACCACAGAGCACCAATGGCCTTATGTCGTTGACTGTCAAGAGCAGGTGTTTACTGGGCTGTATTAGGTAACAGGGAGAGATAACAGGGGACTCACCATGATCTCCATGGCACTCCAGCGAGAGGTGCCCCAGTACATGGCCATGCCCTGATTTATTACAAAGGTCATGGCCCGGACAATCTCTGCAAATGTCATGAACCAACTTGTTACACACTGGTAATAAACATACTGTAACAAAGATATGACATGCTTAGAATGTAAACATTAAGACACTTTTTAACGAGTGCATTCAGTAATACACACCACAAAGGGTTGTGAGCAGAGCAGAAGACACATTTCTGTTGTAACAGATGGACAATAAAGTAGAAGGACTGGTGTGACTGTGACTGACCTTCCATAGGGCTATTGACGTCATTCCGGTTGGCAAAGACAATGTCCACATAATCTAACTGGAGTCTGGACAGGGATCCTCTCAAACCTGCAATGTAATGGGCATCATCATCATCTTCATCATTATTGTCTTCATCATCATTATTGCCACTGTATCCTATTATAAGTCAATTTGACTCTACCTTCAATGATGTGCTTTCTGGAGAGTCCCCTTTCTGTCTCTGCCCTGTAGAGTGATAGCAACAATACAGAGTCACTTTGTCAGAACAATGGAGAAATTATGACTGTTATATCTGGCATCTTTTTCCCAGGATACTTACTGCCCTCCCCAATAGATCTTGGTTGTCACAACATAACTAGAACGCCTGCCAAATAAATGTGAGGAGAGGTTAGAGGGTACAAGGAAATAGACTATATTTTCATCACATAGTAATTTGATGTCAACCACAGAGAAGCTAAAAGCATTTGAAAAAGTGCCAACAGATCCAGCGATGATAAAATAGTATGAAAATAAACATCAATTTATTCAAACAATCTATCATATGTTAAAAAACAAGGTCTGTCTGTTCTTAAGAAATGTGAAAAGCAAAGTTCACAGAAAAATATTTATGATGTAATATAGTTAGACAGACAGCTATTCATATCCACATGGGTCACATTAGAAATATGAGTAATATCACCTCCATCCTTTCTTCTTGACGATGTTCCCTATGGTGATTTCAGCCCTGTGGAGAGAAGACATGATGGAATAAAAATATGGGGGGGAAAAAGGGAATAAAACAGTGGGTAGACTGAAAGATGGACAGAAAGAGATGGAGTGATAGACAGCGGCAGGAAGTGTATAGAGACAAAGACAAGGAATAGAAGAGAGCAGTGAAAGGAGGTGTGAAAAACTGACCTGCCGGAGGCATACACCTCTGCTGTGTCAAAGAGGTTCACCCCGGCCTCATAGGCAATGGTCATCAGGTTCTCAGCCATCTGAGGGGACAGAGAGACAGACACTGAGAGAGAGAAACTGAGGGAGAGAGAGAGAGAGAGAGAGAGAGAGAGAGAGAGAGAGAGAGAGAGAGAGAGAGAGAGAGAGAGATAGCGAGAGAGAGAGAGATAGATATTATCTACTCTCTCTCCCTGCCCGCACTCCCGACGCCATCCGCCCTCCATCCCCACAATCACTACAAGTCCCTCCTCCCTCCACGCCCTCGCCCCTCTCACACGCCCTCCCATTCCGCTCCCTCTCTCTCGCTCTCTCTCTCTCTCTCCTCTCTCTCTCTCTCTCTCCTCTCTCTCTCTCTCTCTCTCTCTCGCCTCACTCTCTCCTCCTCTCTCCTCTCCCTCCCTCATCTGCTCCTCTCTCTCCCTCCGCGAGGCCTACTCCAAAGTAGACTGAGTAGACAGCAGAGAGACTAATATTGTGAGAGCGATACAGAGAGAGAGAGCAAGAGAGACACAGGAATTATTTGCTAGGATAATAATTGCTTGTCAATAAATTAAATGTAATACGGGTTATATGTTAAAATCCTACGCATGAACTACCAACATTATTACGCATATTAATTGATAATGATGGAAAATAGGATATGCATTCTTTTTTTAAAATAGTTATATGTTTTGTGGGTGGCACTGTGTGCTGTTTTCGATGGATGGGTCCTGGCCTCTCGGGGCCTTAGGGATCCGGAGGGACGTGGGTGGGATGCCGATCACTGGGATGACGGCTCAACTTGGGATGGGGAGGGGCTTTAGCGGGGGAATTAGTGGAGAACAATTGAAGGGTTACTCCGTAGCAATGCAAATATCACGGTACAGCTATATGGACACTCAATCATTACTGTATTTTTTATTGGTAAATTTACAAACATATATAATGATAAATAGACTTGAAACTTGTATCTCATTATGGTGTATGGTGAAATAAGTATAGCCAGTTATAATTGTAATGGCTTAGCTGATAATAACAAAAGAATAACAATATTTACATGGCTCAAAGAGAAGGAATATAATATTTATTGTATACAGGAAACTCATTCAACAATTCGGGATAAAG